CTTATTGGTTTTGTCATTTCTCTTATAATTTCACCGTGTTCATCATTTACATAAATTGCCTTGATTTCTATTTGCAGCTTATCGTTTCATACTTCCAACCCACCAATACCCTCTGTATTGCCCGACCGTGGCTGCGCCATATTGGATTCGTTCTTGTTTACGGACCTTTGGCTTTGAAAACATGGAGGTGAGACTTGTTTTCAAAATTCGTACCGTATTCGTTTACATCAAGAGACCATGATCTCTTGTTTGCACTTATGTAGCCTGCTAGCAGGCTCTAGTGTTTGAGTCTCGCACTTAAGTGCTGCTATCTGGCTTTGCGCTTTGGTGGGGCGAGCGAGTTTGCAAACGATGCGCATTGCGGAACGAACGACGTTGCTACTACTTCATTCTCGTCCCCAGAACCTCCGTTTCTCTTGGTCACGTGGTCGGAGAAATCTCGTCAATGACATTTTAAGACGACTAGCACTGGGGACGAGAATGCTACCACTTATGAGGCTCTTTCACGCTCGTACAAGCGATGCAAACCCATTTTCGGGTTTAAGCAAGAGCTTCTCGGCATTCAAACTGGTTGCGAAGATCCCTTGTCATGAAGATCAAGGATTCCACATTCCAGCAAGGCGCCACTTGCCATCACCCTAATTCCCCTCCAATGACTTTATTTACATTAACCTTTTAATTTAACGAAAGCTAACTAACAAACCAAAAGAAACAAACATGTAACAACAGATAGGCAGACAGGCAGACAGACAGACAGATAGACAGACAAGCAGACAGACCGGAAGAAATCGAAAAACAGATGAAACACACACAACACAGGCAAAAAGACAGAAGACAAACCAACATACAGAGAGAAAGATTGCAGACAAACCGACAGACGGCCGGACAGACAGACGGATATACAGACAGACAGACAGACAGACAGACAGTTAAATAGTACAAACACCAGGTTGAATACCTTAGCATACGTTTCCACTTGTCACCAACAGGGTCGCATTAATTTTTCGTGTACGCTCAGCCCAGAAACTCGCCCTTTCTGACGGAGTGTTGCTAAAGCGCCTGTGCCTCCTGGTGCTACTCTATTCCAGTTATCTGACTGTCTGGACAGTCATGCAGCCACCCATTATTGAGACAGCAGTGACAGCCGATGACCTGAAGTACGAGCGATGTGTGGAGAATTGGTTTGATCTCACAATTATATTCGGTAAGAGCCCAAAAAAATATGTCGGCGAGTGAATGTAACTTTCAACTTCGCCCTTGTTTATGGAACTTTCCCAATAATGCTGTGTTCAGCTCGCAAACTAAATGCACCGTTAATGTTATTGTAATATTTCAATGAAGTGATGAGAAATACGCAGTTGCTTCATAAAGCCAGGTAAACACGAAAGTCGCCTGTGGTTCAAATCGAATTCCAAAATTGTTATAGAATTACATCGCCAAAACCATTTGATCCTTGCCGTGGCAACGTCTGCACTTCTGTTATCTACTAAATTTACCTCTTAGCCTTGTTTTTCGTAGCCTCCTACGTAGACGCACTTTGGACTCGTCACGCAATCTTCCTCCTCCTTCGTGAGTGAGTAAGATCGCGTGACGAGCCCAGCTTTGTACAACTTTATTAATGGCGTTCATTTATTTCAGGGGACATAGTGGTGTTGATTTGGGGAATGTGGCTTTGCTATAAAATCCGGAATGCACCGGCCGCTTACAATGAGAGCAAGTTCATAAGTTGGGCCATTTATAACGCTATGTTCGTCACCAGTTTCCTCATGGTAGTCAGGTTAGAGTTCCCATGCCCTTCTACGACATTTGAATCCAAGATGGCGGCTTTTCGACTTCCACAGAGGTTTTGCTTCTGTGGTTGTGTAGATTTGTTATAAAGCAGCTGTTAATCATGTTAATATGCATTTGATAAATCCTCATCAAAATTGAACTTAACTTGAGGAAACCGAACTGTCAAGAAGTGTAAGATTTGTCAAATTATAGTGAAAACTGACGGAGGTATACAAAAGGAGAAAGTACGATATCACTGATAAATAAAACTCAAGTGGAGACGAATTGCTTCAGAAACAAATGACTTCGAATTTTTAGAAACATTCAATTGTTAGAGATCTTTTACTTTTCTACATCATGTTTTTTAATACTGACATTTATTTCTGTCGATATCAGAGTTACAACGAAAGGAAACACTAACCCAGACATGATGTATGCGTTGGATTTTGTCCTGATTCACATGAACTGTTCCACCGTGTTAATTCTCATGTTCATCCACAAGGTACGCTAATTGTTCTTATAGGGACTGCATGCACAGACCAAATCCCTCTCCCCCCTCCAAATATGCTGGAGGGGGGAGGGGCCGGGGAAGAGGGGGTTGAAACTCAAGGAAGCAACCATAATGAGAAGAGCCTTATGGGGGCCTCTTTCTCTACCTGTTCAGTCTGTTTGAGGATATTTCCCTTATAAGTAATCCATCCAATCCATCTCCGACCTGGTAACTACCGTAAAAACCTAATTGCAAGAATCTAGTGGAGTTTTTTTTACCTGCTGGCAGAAATTTGCCATTCTAATACCCAAAAACATAAGCACCTGCTTAGCCAAGCTAGATCAAGCAAGTTTCTTATATATGGGTTACAGTTAAGTTATGAACTCTTGTTATTACAGAGGCAACACTAAATATTCTGTGATTAGTTGTCTTAGACTTATATAGCGATGATAATACAGTTCTGAACAAATACTCTATTTTTACGGTCAAAATCCGAGTTTATTTATTTTTCTGGTAATCAACAACTATATCTCCTTCTTAGAAATTAAGAACAAGTACCTATTTAAGCCTTAATTGCAAATAACTACCCCCAAAATACAAGAACCTATTTCGCCAGACTTCAAAAAATGCAAGTTCTTACACGCTGGATTTCACTGTATTGTACACAGTCTCTAACGGTATGTCCTTATCAAGCGCAAAAAGAAAAGCGAAGTCTTTCAGTCCCTTTAGAGTTTGTCTTATTCTCTTTCTTTAAGAGGAGAGCAATAAGGGCTTCAGCATAAACAGCCATGTGTTACGCTCTTTAGTTAGTAGTTGTACTGAGGCCAGTTTTGTTTTCAGTTTTTATTGGTACGCCAAATGCAGCGAACAGTGAATGCCACTCTTTCATCACATAACAACATGCTAGTGCCCGAAGACGAAATAGTTGTGGAAAGAACAGCTTACAAACAAGAGGAGTTACTGAAGAAAGAGAACCAAGTACTGAAGGTAGATCATTCAAATTAGACAACCGAGCGAGCGTGTAATCACCTTCCAATTAATGCTGAAATAACATTACCAGATGTACAAAACACACTTCTAAGAAACGTAGTATAGTGCTAGTATTGTTTTCTCTTTGAGCAACTGGGTCTAAATAATATTAATAGCTTAGCATGTGCGCTATGCGTGGAGGCGCGGTGGCTAATGGTTAGTGCGCTCGACTCCGGATCGAGCTGTCCGGGTTCAAGCCCTGACCGGGGACATTGTGTTGTGTTCTCGGGCAAGACGCTATACTCCAACAGTGTCTCTCTCCACCCAGGTGTACCAATGGGTAGCGATAAAATTAATGCTGGGGGTAACCCTTCTATGGACTAGCATCCCATGCAGTGGTGGAGGGGGAGAAATATTCCTATTCACTTCATGCTACAGAAATCCGGATAAGCTCCGGCCTGATGGGCCACTTGGCTCGTACGCAGACTATACCTTGTACGTTTACCATGCGCGTTATGCATCTTGGTACCAACGTGTCTTAGCGGTCCTCAAAACCAACAGTGAAAACAACAAATTTGATTTTGATCTTTATGGAGAACATGAACCAGAAGAATAATTGGACTTGACTGTCACCCATTCGTAGTTAGTTGGCAACAGTCTGACATCTGTTTTTTTATTACAAGGACGAAGTGCGGCGATTAGGCGAAAAATTGGCTCTCCTCCAGTCTCGTTTGATGACAGACAACAACCATCCCGTCCGCAAGATATCTTCTAAAGCAGGCCCTGTTCGCCGAAAGAGTGCCTTTACCCTACCATGCAAAGAGCCCGGAGGTTTTCCAGACACAAAACGCCACTCACTGCAGTTGCAGCTAACGCTGAAGGACAGCACGCGTGACGCGGACGGATCATCAGAGCAGACCGCGAATCTGATGCCAGATCTAAATGAAAATCACGACGCGACGTATCCCCTGGAATTAAATCCGGCGACGTCCTTATTTCATTCAGTTTCAGTGCACAGTAGAACATTTTCGGGCCAAAACGTACAGTCGTAATGTCTGACGCACCAGCTGACTTTGTATCTCTACACCAACCGGTGGACGCAACGATTGCATCGTTCAAGTCAACACACAGTTTAGCCCGTCTAGAAAACAAACCTATCCAGATCTTAAAGGAACAGTTGGACGAACTGATGCGTATTTTCCCAAGTTATATATATATATATATATATATATATATATATATATATGCTATTCTCAATGAACATTTTAAATAAAGTGGTAAAACACGCCAGGACGGGTTGCAGAAACATTTTACAGCAGCATTAGCAGACACAAACTAACAACGTGTCGACACAAGAATTTATAGCAGGGACAATATGCAGCAGCAGGTCCCTCTTTGTAGAATGGGAACTGTCGCTTCAGCTTGTCCCCTCTATATTTTCTCGGGTGATTAAATCTTTTGACTGTGTGTTCCATCGTATGTGTCTAAAGATGCCTTAATAGATTTACAGTAGAAGGACCCAGAGACCGCTTACAACCCAATGTGATCTTGTGCTCGTGGAAGTCCATTTCCCGGTGTTTTTTTAACCTGTTTCCTCCAGTTCATTCCTTCTTCTAGATCTGAATAATCACGATTATAGAGTTATCCAGGTCACTGAGCTACAAAGCCAAAACGGAAAATATGACAAAAAATTAGTTTAGTTTGAGAACTATCCATCTAAGAATCAGGAGACTCCTATAAACGAGATTCTTGTACCTGTCAGAGGCTCCTTTCAACGATCGACCTATTCTGTCTTTATATGGACACTTACTCTGTTTGTTTGTAACAAAAATTGTACGTAAAACTGCGATGTTCCTCCTTTAACACTTCAAATGAGGTGCTGAGGTACAGAGTATTTCAGTGTTTTTAAAACACAAATGTAACCAATACTGCCTGAGATAAAGATCATATATATATGATGATATAACTAAAGTTCACTTCGTTTACATACTTTATTTATGTTTGTTAGGCCTCTACCTTGAAAGACTTGTAAATAGAGTTAACAAAAGGTATATATATTTATAAATCTGACGTAGCTTCAATGGCGAGGAATCCTTGGATAAGAATTATACCGTTAAGAACCTTAAACCACAATATAGTTATAATCCCACACATCATCGATTGCTTTCACGTTTTTGAACAACAACAACAACAACGACAACAACAACAACAACAACATCGACGTTAGAGCTGAGATATTATTATGCATTGAATTATAGCTAATTATAAAGCTAAGGACTTAGCTAATGTACAAACAATATATGTATCATAAAATGTATGTATCATAAAAATACATTTTATCCAGCATTTGTTGACATCCAGCCAATAAAATATTAAGAGAAATATTGATTGCAAAACTCCTAGGTCGTACATCATTTAGCCAAAGCCTGAACAGAAAAAGAAAAAAATTTAGGATGAAACATATTTTATTGCTCACAAATGCATCCTGGAAAATTCAGTCCTTTAGTTCTATGAGAAATTCATCTCTGTACAAATCTAGCTAACTCTGTTGCATTCTATCCCGGTAATAGATAAGAACCAAACGGGAGTTTGCTACGTTTTATCTATGCAAGTTCAAAACTAAGAAAAAAAAAAACGTTAACATTAAACGTCTGTCAAGTTTCTACATTGAACCGTAAAATAGACACAAATGACTCGCTGTTTGTAACTGATGGCTGAGGCCCCGTCCACACTACACCGGAGAAATTTGAAAACCGCGTTTTCATTCTGAAAACGCATCAAGTGTTTTCCGTCCACACTACGCCGGAAAAATTTGAAAACGCAACAATCACCGGTAATTTTGGATTTGTACTTCAGGAAAACGTGGACAGACAAATCAAATGATCATCGTGACGTCATCATTTTCGAAAAGCTCCGTTTTCAAAATGTTTTCCGTCCATACTAAAACGCAAAGACGGCGTTTTCGATTCCTCTAGTTTAACGAAGTTTCCGGAAAGCTCCGTTTTCGTGAGGGATTAGTGTGAACAGAGCCTTATACCAACCTCGTTCCTGATGGAACCCTCGTTCCCAGGGTCTCTCTTCCTTCCGCCCCCTAGAGCGCCGCTCTGTCGCTCCAGGGCGCCGGAAGAAGAGAGACCCTGGGAACGAGGTTGAGCCTTTACTTAAGCCACACGAGCAAGTGTGGAGATTGGTGATTGTATTGTGTATTGGGCCAATCAGAGTCACTTTGGGGACTGTCATAACCGTTGGCGTTCTGGCTCCATCCATTTGCATTGGAGCCCTTCACCAAAACTCCTACTGCCATGCAGTAATCGTTTACCTTGGTATTTCCGCGCCTGTTATAAGATGCGTAGGGGTATGAACCACCGTGCTGCTGCAATGGCATTATGCCATACTTGTTTTGGTAGCAAACCTACATGTATGACCAGAGGGAACACCGCGTAAATCACTTACTCGCACCTTAATCTAAAATCATGGTTATAAATCCACGTGCTATTGGAACATTAGATTACGAGTAGTCCCTCTTTCGATTAGTCTGTTTTTCGTGACACGAAAAACAAAAGCGCGAGAAAAAAAAGACGTCTATTTACGGTCTCACTCGAGGGACTAAGCGAAAGAGGGACTACTCGCGGTCTATTGGAATATTCGCAAGGGTGGTACGTTCTGGTTGGGCGTATTTCTGGGAGGGCTATAACGATCAATATTTTAAAGCGTATAAGCCTTCGAAGCAATGCGTGAGCCAAAAGTCAAAATCAGCCTGCACAGCTGCAAAACCAACAAGCAAGCATAGAAGAGACAGACGCACATGGATTTTTTCGTTACCTGGGTTTTGCCGTTCCACGCTTTCACGGTTACTTGGTGTGTGTCTGCTGCCTTCACCCTAGCCTGACCAACACCATAGTTCCACCAAGTACTGTATTCTCTGCCCACTGGCAATTCCCACTGAATCCATTTGGCCCCTATTCCCAACGGATTTTCACTGCTGGATAACATGATTTCAGAAGAATACCTGACAGCAAGGCGGCGGGCATCCAGGCAAGCAAACAGCTGGTCTCTTGAATTCGCATTAGGTGACTTCAGGAGTTCTGTGTTGACATTTCCCACGAGCCACCGTTGGTAAATAATTCCTGCACTACCGCTAATCTTTCCAATAAGAGTCCATCCACCATTTTCCATGTCACAAAAGGTGGAGGTGCTTTCCTCGCCATTAATCCCGGTCCTGAGCCAGTAGACGCCATTTTTGGTCGAAGATTTGTGTCTTCCATGACGATTTACGTCGTAAATCTGCTTGCAGGAGTCTCCAGGTCGCTCTTCATCTCCATAAGGGAAATCATTGTAATGTGCTAGGTGACACGTGTCTCCGGGGCTTACCGTGGGGTTGGACTCGACAACCAGTCGTACTCTTAAATTGTCATAATAGGTCGTACATCCGATCCCACTGTCAACTGTGAGGCAGCCGAATCCGATGGTGCCCCTTGGAATCATCCATGTGTTTTGTACAGCGATATTTTGTATGGACACACCATTGGCCCACTGGGAAATTTTGTTTCCAATCAAGCGGTACTTAAAACGAAACCACCTGTTTTTAACAAGAGGTTGTGGAAGCTGGCATTTGTACTTCCATCCTCCGTCTTTGTTGTGGACAAACGGTCTCATGGTGCATTCCTTGTCATCGGTCCTGTACGCAAACCACCAAGCTGTTGTGTGTTGTAGCCCGAATTCCTGAACTCGTAAAAATGGACCAGGAAAAACAGTGCCCGTGCCTGTCTCCATAAAATCAAGTTGCACTTCAATGTCGCCCCATTCTTCCCCTTCTTTAAGGTACAGTCCAACCTCACTATATCCAAACAGTGATCGGCCAGTTTTGCCAAAAAGACTTCCATTCTTGACAGCCCATTCTCCCCAGACCCGTTTCCAGTCTCTCAGTGTTGAATTGGAGAAATCTTCGTGGAACAGGAACACGTTCTTTGGGTCAGCTTTGGCCTTGTCAATGGATTTTCCACCAAAAACGAGAGCATAAGAGGTGGTGTCCACTGTATTGGCAGGAATTACCCTCTGCGTTCTGAATTTAATAGTAGTACTGTTGGTGTACAAATCGGTAACAATTCGGTCTATCTCAACGGGAAGACTTTTATCATCATGGAGGTAAAATACTCGCAGATCTCCGCCATCTTTGGATGTTTTCTTCTCGTCTACCAAGAATTTATGATTTACTGTAAATGATAGCAAACAAAGAGGGAAACTGTAAGCACCAAGTTGCAAATAAATTGCGGGTGTTGGAAAGTAAAATAGACGCTACCGTGTTTATTGTCCGCCGAAAAGCCTGTCATCATTATCAATTTCAAATTAAAAGACATGGCAGAATTATATGAATTATATATATTGTGGGCTCTAAGCTTCCAATGGGCAATTCCCTCTATGAGACATGTTGCAGGGAATTATGGTAGTTGCATTCCTGAAGACAAATTTCCAGTCCAAGATTATGAATGCAACTACAATGATTACCTGCAGGGACAGAGCGGAAAAACGGTTGATTGGTCGACAGATTGTGACGCAAAATGGTGCTGTTAAGGCCAATGCGCATGCGCGGCTTGAAGAATCTTGTTCTTTTCATCATGGCGGACGAAGATGTTTATACGTTGTGGGCAGCGTTTTTTAAAATACTTGCCGCGTCAAGTATTGATTCCAGTTAAAATTAACGGAACAGATGTTTCATGGGAATCGGAGAAAATTTTTGGATGTTTTGAGTCATGATAGATCTTTGGACAGCATGTTTTGGGCCAACGAACGAACGAAAACTGTATGCTCCTGAAAAACATCCTGTTTACTGTTTGGTCTCCATAATAAAACACGATTCAGTGAAAACGTCTGCAGTATGTAGACTTTTTTTTACCCTTCGTCTTCAGTCTGCAGTGCGCAGTCTGCGTTTTACACTAACCGAATTCCGATGTACCTACAAGTCTTCACATAAACGAATGTTCCCCCAGTAAGTGGAACAAGAATCCCTTTTGACGGATTGCTTTTTTCGTTAACACAATGGAAACAACGAAGCCCGCAGCCGCGGGAAAGCTGCGTAGCCAAGAAAGAAGAATCGTAGTAAGTACGAAGTAGCATAAGCCATATAATATCGAACACGGGCTAAAATAAACAAAGAGCAATTTATTTTATCCTTCAAGCTGTATTACAAGTACAATACAACTTTCTACAGTGCCATATTAAACCTCTATAAGCTTACTACAAGTTTTCAGCTCATGGCAGTACATGGCATCTACTGAAGCGGCAAAACAAGGCACGAATGAATAGCACACAAGCTAAAAAACACATCAAAAGTAGGCATTAGTGTGTACTACTTACGAATTCTTCCTCCACTTTCCTTTCTTCAGGCAACGATACAGAAGTCCACGAACAAATAGCATTTAAAAATTTTCATTAGCACGAAAAAAAGTCATATTTTATATGTTCCGTAAAAATAAACAAGCTACAAGAAATTGCTGTTCAAAACCTCAGTGAACTTGACACGACCTTACGAAAAGGAAAAACGGTACCATGTGTGAATTTGGAAAAGCTGAAAGTTTCTTCTCGGAAGAGATGTCTTTATCGCCTGATAAAACTGAAAACACCGTTTCGATCCTTTCGATAACACTCAAAACATCTGCCTGAGTGATTCCCAAAGTAGCCGAGTCGTTTATAAATGCCTTGAGCGAGCAAGATGTTGCCAAGAGCCATGACAATGACGTGTTCGTTTTTCATTCGTCGTCCGCCATTTTGAAAATGGAATGGCGGGAATCATGGCGGGTGACAGTTTGACTCATATTGCGCATGTCCAGCTGTTTTTGCGCTTTGTCCCCTGAAGGCTCGTCTAATAGAGGGAATCGGCCATTGGCAGAGCAACACTCGTTTTTGCAAAATGACAGCCACATAACATTGATTTCTGACCGTTATCTAACACTTTCATACAAATTGATATAAACTTGAAAAAAGTTGCAGGCCTCTGTTTTATAAATTTACTCGAAGACCCTCGAATGCATTCCGTTCCAATCTTCTGCATTTCTGCCCATCCATGTCTCTTTTTGGCTTTTCTGTATTTCTTTTGAGTTCTTCTTCAGTTTGAACCCGTCAAATGTCGCGGAAATGAACAGCTGGTCAGTGCTAAGATTGCCTAAAACAGCGTGACGCGTTCGATCGCGATGCGTCTGCCGTTGACAGTTCATTCGAGCAAGACGCAGATGGCGAGCTACCGACTGGCCTTTCCAATTCATTAAGAACTGTTCGCAGGCTCGTTTGTGGTTCTTTGGAAAAAAACTCTCTCTATCTGTTTCCCGCAGGTTCTGATCTGCTTCATCCATGGAAAAATTAATATGACTGATCCGGCAGAATCTCTCGCTCCACGTGCAGCACAATTCTGAGGTTTAAACATGTAATTGTGGGCCATGTGTACTAGCCACATGAAACGAAATCGAGGCTTTGATATTCGCTCGCTTAATCGCTGACCAAATGAAGATCACGACCGAGCGATACGTTACGATGCATTGAAATGGTGTTTCCTTGGTGGTACGGGTAAAAGCATACATTATGACCAATTTTTTTTTTCAAAAAAAAAAAAAAAAAAGATTTCAAGCAAAGCTCGCGCTTGAGGGCGTCCTTGAGAGATGGCCTTGTGGTAAAACACATGCCTTGATATAAATGTTACATACGATCCAATGGTTTTGTGAACGATCGAATGCCAGAAAGGAATGAACTAGCCTACGAACAAATATTTAATGTAAAGCACGATCCAATTGAATGGATGCAGGTGCGATCTGATGAAATGGATTTGTAGACATAGAAATACGATCCATATAGGTGACGGGTCATGATTTAATTGCATTTTTGTCCTAAATGCTCCTCCGCGATACGATAGAAACACGGTACATGTATTCTATTTCTTAAGTAACATTCCAAAAGCAACAGATCGTAAAACAAAAATTCGATAATCTCTGTTATTACTGCTAATTTATCAACAGCTAATAAACGCTTGCGACACCCTATTTGCCTTCCTCAAACACATTTGCATTAACACAGGATTCAAACATTGGCGACATTGCACGTTCCAAATTAATCCGCAATTCTCAAGTTCCCAAGGCACGAGATCTTTTAACTCACCTCGAAAATGAACAATTCAATACCAGTTTTTCTTGGATCTGTCCTGCTATTGACGTTCATATCATCATTACTATGTTGCTTAACTATCTGTTTGGTCATACATTGTATCTGCGGTTCCAGTCACGATGAGTTAAATGCGAAATAAATAGTAGTCCCTATTAAATACATTTACTCTATTTGGTTGGTCGCATTGTCTCAGACCCTGAATTACCAATACTGAGAGAAGAAATATCATATTTTTACCTTGTACGCTGATCGTATAGTGGGCTGGCAGCGACGAGCGAGTCTCTATCAGTATATTCTGTTTGTAGCGGAAGTCAACCACAACATAATCATGCTCACATAGTGGCCCAGGCTCATGTCGATTGTTCAGCTGTCCCAGAAGCACGTCTACTTTCTTCAGTATGGTCAGCTCTTTTATGGTCGCGCTGATTTCCTCTTTTGTTTTGTGCAAAGTGTCTTCGAGCGTTAAGAGCTTGTCGTGCAGTTTTTTCGAGAGCGCGTTCACGATCGTCTCAGCGTCGTATGCTTCTTTGTGACGGCTTTCAGGCAAGGCTCTTCCTAAGTGGAAAATCGAAAGCGCAAGCGCCAGTGGAAGGCAGAAGTCTCGCAATTTTGGCATGATACGACCACACTGGTCACATCAACAGAAGCGCAAAAGAGAGGTGGTCAAAAGAAAATTGGCATGCACCGAGTCTAGGACAAAAGATCACTATTCTGTGACGCAAGCGATGTCATAAATCAGCCTAGGCGTGGTACTAGGTCAACCAAATCCTGCGCTGTGATTGGTATGGCCGTTGCGGACAAAAAACGTATAGATGAGAAAAACTTGAAAAACATAACACGTGAGTCGAAAATTGCAAAATACATCGAAGGTAATAATAATAATAATAATAATAAAAATAATAATAATAATAAGAATAAGAATAAGAATAAGAAATAGAATAAGAATAAGAATAAGAATAAGAATAAAAATAAGAATAAGAATAAACAGAAATAGTACGAGATTTGCAAAATATATGTTGACTAACGATTTAAAATATTAAAGAAGTTTGTCAGTGTTACTCCTCGTTAAATAAAGTTTCTCTCTCTGAAGCAGATGTCGTGCTAAAAAAAAAAACAAAAAAACAAAAAAACAAAAAAACCACGAGTCGAGACCGTGAGTCGAGAACGTGAGAACGCTGACCAGTTGTCTTGTCACTGCCGGGATTTTTAAATTCGAGGCGACCCGAAAAAATTTCTCGACTCACAATTTTTTTTTTCTCGACTCACTGTTTTTTGTCGACTCAAATTTCAAAATGACAACTGGTCAGTGTTCTCTCGTTCTCGACTCACGTTTTGGTTTTCTCGACTCTTTTTTTTGGCACGACATCTGTTTAGTATTACATCGTTAGTCAACATATATTTTGCAAATCTGGTACTGTATTTTTCAATTACAGTTTGATGTATTTTGCAATTTTCGACTTATGTATTATGTTTTCAACATACTTCTATCATCGATATGTTTTTGTCCGCAACGAAACGCCATAGATTGGCTACCCGAGCGGGCAAGATGGTGCTATCCTACCAGTCGGGATTACATGTAAGCGGTGTGTCCCGCAAGCAAGATTTATTTTGACCAAGAGTGAGGTCAAGATGGCTGGATATTGACCAATTTCTATTTTTTGCGTGTTGATTGACCTCGGCGGTTTACATTTCATTTCGCGCACTTTTCCTAACTATAGTAATAAACTGGAGTCGAGTATCATGTACGATCACTCTATAGTTTATTCAGTACAAACACAGTCGATTCATGGGTTTAACTATAGCCTTGTAGCCTGGATTTTAGCTCTTTTCTCTAGTCCTTTTAACTCCTACGAGCGGGGGATCCAACTTGTAGATATTTTGCACTTAAAATTATTATCACATTTATCAAAACGTTGACAGAAGAAAAAAAAAAAAAAAAAAAAAAAACCGGCTTGGGGAAGGCAACCTGAACTTTCATGCAGCGCTGTTGCAGATGTCACGATGCCCTTATTTAGTCAGCAAGCCCTTGTTCATACCTTTCATTTACAATGGGTCACCGTAGCAGACGACAGACATTCTACGGTAAGCCATATTTCGGATGTATGAAAGACTCTTGCAAAGTATTTACAAGCAACAACTTTATTAATACATATTTGAATTCCAAGCCTTAGTAGCTCGCAGCCAGCAAAGCTATTCTGGACGAGCCACTATTATATATTACGTATTTTAGTTAAAAGAGCATATAAGAAAAGAAAAGAAATTAAAGAAATTTGAGTAGACCAAAATATTTCACATAAGCCATAATGTAGAAATTAGGTAGCGAAACATGGTTGACAAAAGACAGTAGAATGACAATGCATAAGGTCGTTTATCGGCCCAAAGTTGTGTAAGTTAGAGACTTAGGTCAATTGGACAGAATTATGGAGAAAAAAGAAAGTTTTGGAAAAAATGTGCTTTTCCCCAACAATAACATTACTGAACAACCACAGCATATCAAAGCGCTTCGTAGACAAGTTGTTGAATAATTCAAATAACATACGTCCATTTGATGTGAAGTATACATGATGAAAGTGAAGAATGATCATCGCAGTAAATTTTCCAATTTAAGCAATTGGAAAGAAGAAACCTGAAAAAATCAGGGCTTCAACGGGATTCGAACC